CCCCCCCCCCCCCCCCCACACACACACACACACACACACACTTTTACTATGAAACATTAGTTCATGCGGCGCAGTTTCTCTTTCTTCGTGAACAAATCCATTCCACTTGATTAATAGGAGAATACTCAAACCACTAAAACTCCACTCCAGGTTTTCCTGGTTACCTCCAACTCTAAACACAACAGCCTGTTGCCACGGTCACAATATACAGTGGTTACAGAATATGGTGTAACACCTGCAGTGTTTATGTGCGTCTCCTCCTGCCTCGTCAGAAAACGCACGCAGGTGGAGGAGATGGAGACACCTCTGCGTTACTCGCTCGCCAGTTTAGCGAGCTTAGTGCGGGCAGTTGTTGACTGGGGGGGTTGATCATAAACATATGTTCATGTTAGGAGGATGCTTGAGAGGAGCGCTATGTCTATAGCATCTTAGCTTAGCAGTAACTGTGACACTGTAAGACGCTGCAGGTGTAAGAGACACTGTGTGTTAAGGTTAATTAAAGTTGAAATGTCTTTAAAACCTTGCACCTTATTGATCTCAAGCTTAATGAGAAACATAATTTAGACGAGTAGTGTTGAACACAAGTAAAAAAGTCTAGTGGTGATGTTTGTTAATTTCTCTATAAACACACATAATGCCGACCTGACGCTCTGTATTAAAGTTCAAATGTCTTTAAAACCCACAGCTGAATTTACACAAACTTGGTGAGAAACGTGTGGAATTAAAGGAAATCTATGTGAAATGTTGCTTTTTTGTACACTAGTGAACACCTTTTTTAAATGCGCGCGCACACATGTGCACACACACCTACACACATCATCGTGTCCCCCCCACATTACGGATGCTTCTGACGCCCTTGAGCGCGAAGTTCTAAGCTGTGTGGACCCATCTGAAAGTGCTACAAGTGTTGTCTCTGCTGATCTTAAGCCTGATTTGGCACCAACTGAACATAGCCTGGGTATGCAGTGGCATGTTGAAAGTGACTGTTTAGGTTTTCACACAAATCTGAGCAATAAACCTGATACACGCTGCAGTATTTTGTCAGCAATAGCCTCTCTGTATGATCCGTTGGGACGTCTTTCACCATTCATTTTGAATGGGAAGTGTAGCTTACAAGATCTGTGCCGCAGAAGTATTGGGCGGGATGAACCTCTGCCTGAAGACTTGCTTGGACGGTGGGAGAAGTGGAAGTCCAGCCTTCAGGTTGTGAAGGGGTTACTGATACCAAGATGTTATCCCCAAGGATTTGGAAAAATTGTTAAAACAGAGCTACACCACTTTTCAGATGCTAGTAGCATAGTATATGGTGCATGCTCCTACCTCAGATTTGAGAATGAGGAAGGTGAGATCCATTGTGTTTTGATCTAAAGCCAGAGTTGCTCCTTTCAAAATAACAACCATTCCTTGTCTTGAGCTCTCAGCTACAGTGGTTGCTGCTAGGTTGAGTGTTTTGATAAAATCAGAACTTAATATGAAAATTGCCACATAGTTTTCTGGACTGATTCACTAGTAGTGTTGTCATATATTAACAATGAGGCACAATTGTTTCATGTATTTGTGGCAAATCGAGTCCAGGTAATAAGAGACAACACAAGTCCAAGTCAATGGCATCACATTGACACCACTAAAAATCCAGCGGATTATGTGTCAAGAGGACTTTGTGCCTCTGAGATTTGGACAACTACCTGGCTAACGGGTCCTGAATTTTTGTAGAAGAAAGAGAGGAACAGGGAATTTAAATCATGCCCTGATCTGTTGGTTGGTGCCCCAGAGGCTAAAGTTGTTCACACATTTGTGACAACAACAAATTATACTATAGATTTCTGGATTGTTTCACTAGATTTTCATCTTGGTCAACGCTGATTAAAGTAGTGGCCAGAATTAAAAAACTTGGATGCCAGAATAAATGTGATTCAAATTTGGTGATTGTTAAGGAACGTGAGGATGCTGTTAAATCAGTGGTGAGACTTGTACAAAAACATGCCTTTGGCTTAGAGATGAAGTTACTTCAAAAAGGAGATTTTGTAAGGGATATCTACTCCTCGAAGTGTTGGTGCCGTGTGCAGTTTTTGATTAAACAGTTTTGGAGTCATTGGAAGAGAGAATACCTTCAGAATATTTCCATTCGACAAAAGTGGCATGTAATTCAGCACAATCTTAAAGTTAATGATGTGGTTCTAGTAAAGGAGGAGCTTCTCCCAAGAAGTCAGTGGAAGTTGGGTCGTGTTGTGGAAACAGTGGTTGATGGTGATGGCTTGGTTCGGAGAGTGAAGTTGAGAACAGGAGAACATAGATCAGGAAGGGATATTATCTCTAGGAGTTCAGTG